AAAATATTTTCAAATTTTTAACCATCAATCTTTACGATTAGTATACTATGAAACCTCGACAATATGCTGATTAAAATTTTAAATTAATCTTCACGAGTTGAGTATTTTCCAACATTAAAATAATATTATACTCCATAATAGTTTTCGTAAATTATGTTGGGATTACGTTCATTAAATAGGTGCACTGTAAAATTAATGTACTAAAAGACTACTTCTTATATGTTAAAATACACTTTGTTATTATTTTTCATAGGTTTAATTTGATTTTCTTTATGCAAACAAAAATGTCAATTTATGAAACAACTTTTATTCCCGTTCTTGATTCCCATTCGTTTATTCATTAGCCACGGATATGTTGATTTTAAATTATTTGATGATCAACAACCGTGAGGATTCAACAAATGAATATTAATTCCCCACTCGGGACATCGAATAATTTTGTTTATATGTTTTACCTATAGTTCAAAATGAATTATTATAGCACTTTATGACATTGTGCATATTCATTCGAATAATAATGATTTTTAAAAAACCATAAAAAACAATAATGTTAGATCTCCAATTAGGTAAACAATATTATAAATAACCGGCTGTGGATGTGTTGCGACCCGACGTGTCGTTTCTGGTGTTTGAGAATTCCGGCTCGATAATATTTAGCTGTAGATGAATTGCGGCCCGAGTAATTATCGTTACCTATGTACTTATGGTCTGTGTACCTGCTTCTAGAAACACAAAACAATATTTTTAATAATACCAATATTTAAATTTTTTTTTACATTATTATCATTACATATATTATATTCTTGAAATGACAAATATATTAATATACGACAATACTAAAAAATACGTAGTACGTAATAAATTTATATTTTAATGTTTATATACTATATACATGTAATATATGCATTATTGTATGGCCGCAATTCGTACGCACCTCTCATAAGTCATAGCCACAACTAGTACGTTATTTAGGGATTGGGTCGCAACTCACCAACACCGGTTTTTAGGAGGGGGGGCGAAGGGTATGCTCACCCATCTTGGATTTTTTTTACTTCAACTGTTATGTTTTGTTCCTCTTATCATTTTCACGATATATGTTCAAACGTTTTTTTTTTGCATCAGCGTAAAACATTGAATTGATAACAATAGACGAATATACGTTATCAAAATATACAGACTTTCAACTAGAATTAATAAGGTTAATCTAGTCGGGTTCGATCGGGTTTTTTTTCAGATTATTGTCAAATGTATGGACTTTTTACTATATTTTATATTCTCATAAAATTAAACTATTTAAATCATGAAAAAAAAAATGAAAATTATAGATATCATTTATAAAAGAACAATAAACAAATTATATTCTTTATTTGGTATATGTAATTATGCTAGATGGCAAAAGAATGAAAGCAACCCCACTTGATGTTTTATCAAAACCGCCACTGGCGGATGTAAGGTTTTCAATTTGTATACTACAATACTTATATTTATACATAATACATAATAAAAAATTATAAAGGATTGACTTTAAAAACTCCAAGTGTTTGTGACGTTCCAATAAATATCAAATTATTTAAGTACATGTGCAAATAAAACATGATAATAATTTTAAGACTCGATGAAATGCAGTATAGTTCCTGCGATCTATTGACTAAGAACCGAACTAATTATACGCTTCAAATGTTAATCAGTAGATAGCAGTCTTTGCATAAACATGAATATTATCTAAAAACTAGCAAATAATAGCATTCGGGACATTGATCTTGACTTAAAAAATCCATTTTATTTTAAATAAATTTATGATACCATGACGTTGAAATTGAAATGTTTTTTTTTTTAATTTTTTTTTTTATAAAAACATGTTATTTTGCCAGTTGTTATGGTAGTTGTACAATATATTGAATTATTTTGTTACCATGGTATGTAGATTTTTTTTGGATAAACAATATTATGACGATGAAGTGTTTTACATTTCTCAATTATTTCCGATAGGCTTTGGTACTTTATGAGATTTGTTCCCCCGACGTAAATTAGCTACGTACTGTAGTGATTCGCTCGAAAATGTCAACGACCGAAATATATTTTCTTGTTGTACCAATGATATGAATAAAATATTAGAAACAATCGGCTCTCGACAATAATATTGTTCTGAAGACAATTTATGCACCGGTAAATCGTAACCCGACTGGCGATTTCGTCGAACACCAACGCTTGCACTTGCACATCAATACACCACGTATAATGATGGATGTTTCTTTGCTATTATTGCTATTGTAGCTCCTGTGCCGTTCAATATTATTTTGATTGCAATTATGATGACTGTTCATTTACTTCAATGTCAATCAATATTAATACAGCCGTTTCTATTGTGTTATACAATTTCGTTGGATTGCGAATAAACAATAAGGTGATCGCACTCTACAGATAAAAATACATATCTACACATTTTTTTTTTTTTTTAACTATTTCATCTTAAACCTCAACCTCATTGATACATATAATATCTACTGTCCAAGTCCAGATCTTGCACTACTTACAGCAAATTAATCAACAAAACTGTTCACGTAGGAGCTTTTTTTTTCGGTTAATCAATGACCGGGCAGTACCTGCTTGCACAATGATTCCGCTCGGTCACATAGGGGTTAGTGACGGATGACTAAAATAAAAAATCCGAATTGATAATTTCTAAAATTAATTCTCAATAACTCAATAGTCAAAATTATACTTTAAAAAACACACACCTTAGTAAATTTAAAGAAATACTTAACCGATTTGATAACTATGGGAAATGTGAAACTAAATGTTATTTGCGACTCAACCACTGTATTTCCATCACCTGAAGTATTGCTTAATGGTATTTCCAGGTGGCGGATTTATTGCCGATTTTTAAAAAAAAAACCATTTATGACGAAGTACTTTGTAAATTACAAAACACAAAAATTAAATTGAAAAATTTTAAATTATTTCCAAACATACATAAGAAACTAGTTATATTTGTTATTGTTGATAAAATACAATCAAAATACAATTATAGATTAATATTTTTGTTCTTATTTCAGCAGAAGGTTCAAATACTATTGAAAAATTAGTAACTAAAAAAAATGATTAGTTATTATAATCATATATGTTTTTCAGAAAGTATATAATATTTCAGTAATATTTGAAATATGAACCTTATGTTTATAGTTGATAAGAGATAACCATTACATGTTATCCTTATTGTTTGTTATTATTATTATTATTATTTTTTTTTTTTTTTTGTTATTTTAATGTAGATTTTATTATAATAGTCAAATCAACAAATCTAATATGCTCATATAAATGTAAAACAAAATATAGTGGTAATTGCTAATAATTATTAATTATTGAAAACCATAAAATTATAAGAATTATATGTAAGTGTATATTTTTAACAAAAATCAAATAGTTTTCACGAAGGAAAATACAACAAATTGTAATATTTTTTTTTTTTTTTAACAAAAAAGTTATATTATTTGTATTATGCCTTATCACATATCTAAAACATTAATATGCATTTAACAATATAATATATAGTCAATAATTAGTGTATAAAACACTACAAGAAAACCCGATACGTAACCTATAAATAATTACGATAACATAAAAACATGATCAAATTTAACTTGAGGGACTAGAATAATATTTTGGTTCTTAATAAATTATACAATATTAGGCCATAAAATTCAAGTTGTACAACTTAAAAATCTATAATATAATAACTATTTATTAACTTATAATTAAAAATATCAAATAAAATGTATTAATAATTCAACACACATTTAATTTTATTTTCTTATTTTCATTACATTATCTAAAATAAATTAATAAAATATAATATATAATTCAAAATTTATTTATATTGTCAATTAATTATGAGACGGAAATATTCGTATAATAATAATAAATAATCCGTAAAAGTACTTTTTTCTAGTATCACGTATTATCGTAAAATTAAAATTACATTTATAACTATTAAAATCGCAGTTTCACTAAACATACATTACATTTATTTCTTCAGTAATTCATAAAAACAACGAGTCAAATTCAATGACCGATTGATTTACTTGTGTTACAATTAGGCTAAAAGTATACACAACTCAGGTCCAATACTCTTTAAAACAGTTGGCAATATTAGTAAATGAGACTTAAAAAAAATTGAAATCGTAATTTTATTTTTTAAGCGATCGACCTCAGCTTGACAAATTTACAGAAAACCATTGTAAGACGATTTCACAATCATAGTTGCTGTAATACATCTGATTGCACTGTGTCGCGTAAATAGCATTTAACTTGTGGGTTTGATCTCACAATGTTCGGCGGTGACGAAATGGCTGTTAATATATGCTTCATGTCTTTGCATTTCGAATTGTTTTCTTATAACTTATATCTTTCTAACTTGAGAAGTCTCTACTATGTAATCAGGCGAATGCCACATCGTGAAGAAAAAATCCTTGTCGCATGTGTTATTTGAATGCCATTTACCAGTTGATAATTTCTTGGTTAGAATAAGTTTATTTAAAAACAAAAATATGAAAATTTGTACAAAAAAAATTTTTAAAATAAACAATAATTTAGGGCATGGTAATAATTATTTCAGAGGATGATTAAAAAAAATTTCCCCAGTCATCAAATATCCTTGATCTACCAATAAACTTCTTAATTTTTGTTGAGTAAAGTATATTTTTTAAATTTTCTCAACAAAGATAATTACGTATAATTAAATATATATTATGAGAATATTAACAAACATTGTTAAGCATAATATTATTTTCACCAAAAAATATTTTTTTTTTTATTTTTTACTTAACAACAAAACACTTTTTTGGAGGGTTTTTATTCGAAATTTCCGTTTCAAAATAGTAAAATATTTATACGATACATAGTTGATTTTTATGATATTTTATCGGCACAATAAGGTGCAGTTATATTTGCAGCAAGTTTCCTGGACCACAGCCATAAGTATACAAAGTGAGAAAACATCATCTTGGAAAAATCCGTCCGTTCGTAGAATAAATGTGCGTTTGTTACGGGGGCGAACAATTGTTTTAATTTTTAAAATAGAATCCTAACAAAAATAACGATTTCTATGTCGACGAAGACATTGTTGTCTGGACCTGAGGCAAGTTCGCTTTCCGGCAGTTCCACAGCCATTTAATGATCCTGGCGTTGCGCTCCACGATCGATGGCAGTTCGGATGACGAAGAACCACCGCCGGATTTTCCCACGCACGCCACCGCTCCTCCGCAACCGTCCGTAACACCGTGACCTCCACTACTACAATGCCCGTCGGTATTGTTCATGTAACCGTTACTACCGCTGCTAACCGAGCCCACCGAACTGTTCGATTCTCCGATATACATTTGTGAGTCTGTTTCCGAATCATTCTTTAGGATCGACCTAGAATAAACAAATAACAATGCTATTAATATTATTGGCACACATTATTACACGTAGATACAACATTCAATTTATATTATGTACCTATTAACATTAACACAAATTATTCGAAGAATTACTAATCTTGAACGTCCACACGCTTCATTTGTAATGTGCTTGGTAAATATAATTCATAATTTTTATTTCTTAAATTCACAGAATCCTTGGGACTCATATTTATTACCTATATTTTATAATATATATACCCAATAATATAACCTAATATTTATAACCTAATTTAAAGTTAAAAGTATACGTTGCATGTACACATCATGTGTGAGATTTTGAAAGTCCTAAAAGCCTACACTATTTTCTCAATAAATCAATCAAAGAAAAATTTATGAAATAATTAATCCTTCCCGAAAATAAATCTCGGTTATACCATTGCTTACAAAACTGGAATAAGATGTGTTATTAATCATTATAATTTTACCTACAACCTACAAACATATAAATTATTATATTAAAGGCTAATCAGAAATTGATGTTCAGAAAAGCGCGTGTCATCTGCAGTATAATCATCTATTGCACAAGTTCATATATTCGTGACGCAAATAAATAAAATTAAAACATCTTTACCTATCTATACAGGTATATGGCCGTTTATGAGCGTGTCTAACGAGAAAATAATATCCGAGCGAAATGAATTCGTGGTTTATAGAACAGATTTTTAGTATTTGTAGCCGTGTATCCATGTATATATATATATTAAAAAATAACATTTATATAGACAATGACAGACATATAGGCGTATACTGAGACATTAAACTACGTAGTGTTACCCTATAATACACCATTTCGATGCTGATGCGTCTATAACAATAACCTACTTATAGGATATGAATTACAAAACGTACATACATGTCACTCGAAATTATACACCTATGAAATATTGTAAAAATAATGTATGCATCATTTTAAATTGTAATAGTAGTCATTCAATATATTATATAAACCTAATACCTATTCGTAAATGTAAATTTTTTCCGTATAGAAGTATCACGATACGTTTAATAGTGCATACCAGTGGTGTGCACCCGCTGGGGATAGATTTTTAGCACCACCGTTATCTCATCGTAAGAAATGTTTTAGATGTATTATTCCAATACGAAAAAATGGATATATACGGGATTATACAAAAAATATGGGTAAATATATATATGTAAATATTTATATTAATATAAATATAAATATGGGTGTTATACAATAACGTCTTTCGTCAAAATCATTTACTCGCTTTAATTAGAAATATAATATTGATTTCATCTCATATATATTTATATATAATTATTACTATAATATTTTTTTTCGTTATTAACACAACGTATTACATACTTCATTTGCAAGACCTGTGTGCGAACTATTGAAAGCCATATTCATGTATTTTTAGGATCAGTTTGAGTACTTTAATTAATTTTTATTTCATCATTTAAGTGTTATTGATGGTCAAAATAATCGAACGAATTTTATTAGTGTTTTTTTATGATACTGATATTGATTATACTTGTACATAATTTTCAGTGTTGAAAAGTTAATGATTATTAAATCAGATCAAATAAATTAATTCGACAGAGAGAACTCGAAAATGGAACAAAAAATAAATAAAGAATAAAATTATACTAACAAATAAAATTATGATGACTAAATAAAAATAGTAAAATATTTCAACAAAACATTTAGAAAACTGTATATAGCCATGTCAGAGGAAAGATATAAAGAGTAACATGTCATATATATGGTTTAATTAACAAATAACAAAAATAACACATTTAATGGAGTAAAATTCTATGTCTAATTTTGAAAGTATTTTAGAAATAATAATAAAAAAACAATTTTCTCACAAAAAAAAAATGCGTATCGTTTAAGATAAACATCTACGCAGAATAATAGAGCTTGGGACAACCCTCCCTACAGCAAAAAAAAAAAATTGTGTACTTGATAAAATTAAAATTCGATATGATTTTTTTTTTTTTATTAATTATTTAATTAATAAATTAAACATAATAAAACATACAATTTTATTTATTTTTTTATTGTTTTATTTATTTTTTTTTTCATTAGGTACATCATTTTTAATATTAATTTTGTTAAAATATTTTGCCGCCCCTGAGACTTGACGCCCCAGGCATGTAACAACCCGTGCCTCCCCTAAATACAAACCTGTTTATAATATTATCTAAATTTTAATATTACCATTTATAATTTATACTTGATGTTCAATGTTTTGTTCTATAATTTGTTCTCGCGATAAACATAAACTCAATACGTACAAAATATATAATTATATACTCGTTCTACGTAGTAAGTGCATCTTAATGTTAATGCTAAACACAGGGTTGGGCAACTAAAAGTAACTAGACGGTCAATTTATAGAACTTTCATATCTGGCGAACCAGAGGAGAGAAAAAAAAAGGCAATTCGAATTAACAATTAGCATTTATTTTATAGAATTTAATTGTACAACTAAACCATTGCATTGAAATACGTAAATAATGCCTTTAGCCAGTGGCGTAATTGGGAAAAAATCTAGGGGGGGGGGGGGCAATAAATTATATTTATTATTACCAAAACCCTGACACCCCTCCCCCTCACCAGTTAAAACATATTTGTATTGTATGTATTTTATACACTATATCTAATTATTTAATTTTACATGTCTTTTAACTCATTTTATGGTTTAGATAAACATAAATTGTTGGTAGCAGGTACTAGGTACCAATATTATTAAATAATATTGGTACTAGGTACCAATATTATTAAATAATACCCATAAGAATTCATTAATAAAAGGTGCTATTGTACTATTGGATTATCTGAGGAGGCAAAATTATACCTTTATCTCTCAAAAAATTTTCAGAGGGGGCACTTTCCCCCCTTTCCCCCACAGTTACGCCACTGCCTTTAGCTATATTATCTTTGCCAATATGGATGTATACGATTATTAGTATTATAATTAGAAATTTAATAATTTAGCTGCAATTTAATACTAGATAAGAGTATAAAATCTAAATTTTACGGTCAACGTTTTAAAACTAAATATCATAGAAATTATACGAGTCATTTGAAAATGTATCGCGGGGCAGATAAAAAAAGTACGTGGGCCGGATGTGGCCCACGGCCTGATAGTTGCCCATTCCTGCTATACGATATGCTTCAAAAGGAAACGGGAACGAGATAGCAGATTACACTCACTTGTATTCCTCGGGATCGAGACCTAGATGACCGAAAAAATTCTCCAAATGTTCGGGGTCGTGTTCGTGTCGGTTGTCGGGCTGCACCGCTGCAACAGTCGGCAGCAGACTCAATAGGTTAGGTGCTCTGCGGCCCACGTCCGATCTGCTTCTCATTATTGGCCGACCACAAAACTCGTCGGGCGACGCCGTAGACGCGGACACCGTGGCCACCATCACTGCGGACGGCAGTTTATGTCGCCGTGGCGGTACGGCGGGCGGTGTCGTTAGTGGTAGCGGTGGTGGCGGCGGCGGTGGTTGTCCGTGGGTAGTCGTGGCAGGCTGCGAACACCTCAGGCCGTGCGCTAATGAAGATTTGACGGGTGACGCGGATGAACGCGGAGAAACGCTTTCCTGGGCGGCATCGTTGTTTTCCTCTTCGATTGAACTTCCGGTTTCCCCGTGCGCCTTTAAAAAAAAACACGATTTTCACAACACTTCTATTGTCACATTCGATGTCTGAATTTCAACCCAAATCGTAGTAAATAATTTATCGTAAGCTATCGTACAATAATCGAAACGCAAAAGGAATCGATTATATTTTCAGACCGATAAAAACCGACGAGTGGTTAACTGAAAAATAGATCATACAATCGGACAAATAATATCATAGTTGGTCCACCTTTGCTAGACAAAGTACATCCGACCACCATACTATAAGCATCGAAATATTCTCAACGCGGAAGTTCTCCAGTCTCAGCTTGTCTAATCAACCTTTACCGATTACTTATAAACGATTGTACAATCTCGTAAGCAATGCGAATCGTCTGAATTGATTTCTGGATCCAGTTCGTTTTTTAAGTTGTTTCTTATACTAAACAATTTCAATACATCCGTACAATCTTGGCCAAATCGTGTCTATTACTGTTTTGACTTAATAACTCTTTCTATTCGGTTATTATTATTAATTGGTATTTCTTTCTATTAACTCCCGAGCGAACCGCACGTCCATACGAACATCACCACGAAATGTGTTATCACGATCTATACTCTTCGTGAGTTAAGAAATTAACGCGATGTGGATTGGTGATGTAACGAAAATGACCGAGTTCAATATGGATGTTTATTATAATTTCAATAAGATTTCAATTGTTTATGGAGTTTCGTACTTCCTCTTAATATTGGGTAATCATTTTAAAAATCCTATAACATTATACTACATTTGCTAACCACATGAGTATATACTTTTGTGTATATACGTATCATTATTATTTTGTTAATCATAATTAATAAAATCCCTTATCGAATTTTTCTTATGAAATATAGTATTAAGTATATACTGTGTTGTGATTATTATGATGTTATAGATATTTGAAGTATATCTGCAGTATATTAATACTATTATTAGATGGTCAGTTATATAATATTTATTGAACAAATATCGTTAATTGTTTATAAATAGATATAAATAATACATTTACAACTATTACATAGTTTAAATATTTGTTTAGATTCAAATTAAAAACTTTATTTAGTTTATTTATTCACTCACGAAATGGCCGAAAATTATTATAAAAAATAAAATTAGATACACTACTCAGAGATAATTTTCATAACCAATACTAGTTGGTATATAATTTATTAGTTCGTAAATTATGTAATCAATTGAAACAAAAATTACTATCATAAAATGTTCATGTGAAAAATGATTATAAATATTTTATAATAGTTTTCAACCTAAATATTTTTCTTATGGAATCATATATATATATATTATACAATAATTATTTGATTTAATTGAAAATTATAACGTACACATATATATATTTATTATATTTAAAATAACAAACCGATATAAACCCGGATTTTTTTGAAATTCAAACTGAAGAAAATGTAGAAACAATATTTGATTACCTGAGATCTATTCCCAAATAAAATTATTTTCACCAATGCAGGTATTCTATTTTTTTTCGTGTAAATGTATAGCATTTTACTTTTAGAATTGTTTTCTTTGAGTTCGTAATACAACCTTGAAAGGAAAAAAAGTTATGTTTTTTAAAAAAAATTCATATATTCAAGTTTTTAAAATTTGAAACTATTATAAAGTTTAATTCCTCTGAATATCAAACATTATTTTAATTTAAGGTTTTACAACTGGTTTTTTAAACTAAGCATGTTGATCCTATTATTAAAAAAAAAAAAAAAATAGTAATCAAAACCAGTAATATGACAAAAGTCTTTAGTGATTCCGAGAATAACAGATAACTATGGTCGTGTTTGAATGTACGTTTATGTGAATGAACTATAAAGTATAGTGAGAAAAGTTTAAACATGTATACAATAACGATTTTATAGGTAGAAGTGAGTAAAAATGTCTCACAGATTGTTGCCATCTGGCATCCGTTTTATAACTGGTTAGGCTCAACGAATCCGGGAAAGAGATTACGTTTGTGACTGCATCCGTTTCATCTGACTTGAACTTGTCTCCAAATCTACAAATAAAAAAAATTTACGATAAAATAATACAATAAAAAAATAAAATCAAATTCACTATTTTTAAACCTCTTGTAAGAAATAAACAATAATAAATAATACGAGTAACTCAATGTTTATCGTTTTGATAATACCCGATGAGAAGATTTATGTTAATTTTAAAATAACACAATTATTTTATTTCAAAACTTTATTCATTTACGAAATGAAAAATATGAATGTTCCATCTGTAAGTTGTTCACATGCGGCAGCGTACAAAATCGGCCTCCTTGCTCATAAACTCAAACCTCCACCAACACTTCACACGAATAGTTGTACAAAATGAATATCTTATATTTGTAGATAATATTGCGATTGGATGTATAGTCCCGAGAATGAGATCAAATATTTTAAACTTATTGCATCACAATTTCTATTATATTTTACACCTATTGTAAATAAAGCCATTTAAATTTAATGTTACATATTTCAACACTTTACTGGTACGCCTGAATGTTGCTACGGATTTGAATGACTAATATATATTATGTGCATGTAATTACGTACACTGTCGTCCATACGCTATTATAGTAATGTAATCACCACTGATTAGCGATTAATGATTAGCGCTTATTTTTACGAGAAAATTGCGCGCGTGAAAAGCTTACCCGGGAGGAGACGGTATGCCGAGGAACGTTTCGAATATGTCGTCGTCACCATCGTAATCGTCAACGCCATCGTCTTCTGCGGCCACGGATCCCGAGGACACAGAACGACGGCAATGACGGATCGAGTCCACCGCGGCCACAGATACCTCCGTAATCGTTTCCGCGACCACGACATCCGCCACATCCGTGAGATCCGGTAAAGACTTGTGGCAAATAGCCGACGGTCCGCAGACGCATGGTTGATGCTGTTGCTGTTGCCCGTGCGAAACAGATCGACGGTACTGTACCGGTGGTGGTACGATCACGTCTTCCAGAAAAACCTGCAAGGATAATATAACCATATATTGCAAACTGGTACTTGAATTTTGGTTATGTGAGGACTTGTTCACTAAGCACTCCGAATGGTGGACAAACGTACTTTTATTATTCAAATTATCATATTCGAATTTTTATTTACTACCCCGAATTTATTATTCACTACAGTGGTGTATTTAGGGGGAGGGCCATCTGAGCCCATAACCCATAGTGAAATTCCAGATGAAAACATTTTTGGTCTTTCGAGTACTGTTTTTAATTTTTATGCATCATAAATAATCATGATTTAAAGCCTAAAAACAAAAATATTATTATATAATGGCTAATTTCTGTTTCGTACTCAAATAATAAATAGCTGATAAAGTATTAATGAATTACGTCGAAACGGTAATAGTTATATCAGTGGTAACACGTTATTTTTAGAAAATGATGTATTCATAAAAAAAGAAGTTTTTAATAGATATACTATTAAAATGATAATATATACTTTATACTGCACAGAATTCTATATACTCGTAAGAATCAATATATTATTTGATTTCTATTTTTTTTTACAGATAGAATTTGTTGTATTGGCGCATCAGTCATTCTGACATTTTTTAAATTTAAAAATATTTACACTTATTTACAAATTATAACCCAAAAATATCTGTTAAAATACCAGATATATTACAATAAACAGATATATTTGAATATTAAAATTATTGTAAACAATTATTGAAAGTTGACAGAATAATACTACTTTACTTTTTAATAAAAATAAATATAATGTAATGTTTTTTTTTTAACTTGATTTTAATAATAATAATAATAAAATAATACTGTTTAAAATTAAAGTCAATATAAAATTTCTATAAATATCTATGGTATGTAACAATAGCATTATTAATAATAATGAATACTCACCGAAGTAGCTTCAAATAAATTTTCTTTTGAGTCTGCATTCAATAGGCGTCTAAGATCATTTTGCAGCTGCTGTGAATCTGCTGTAGACTTTCGTTGACAGCTAGCAACCAGCCGAGGGCTTTTTGGTGGCGGTAAACATGTAAAACTTCCACTTGACCAATTGCAGCAGTTACCTGAATTTACATTTTTTTCATAAGACATTATTGGTAACATAATATCATCTAAAAAATTTATTATTATGATTCGTCTCTGATTTTTCACTTAACTGTTACTAATAATTAAGTCAAACATTTCCACATTTTGTTATTACGGTAAATCAAAAAATAACATGAATAAAATCTATAGTATGTCCTAATATTATATACACTATCATAGAACTTCATTTTATTTTAGATTTTTGGATAATATAAGATAACATCCTCAACTTTTGCGTCTCGTTAAATCAAATGCAAATAATACCTTAAAAAATAAATATTTTCTTCAATTTTACTGATTTATTCAGGCGTCATTAAATATTATCTAATTATAGACTTTTACCGATATTCCATAATGGTAAAATTAATTGTGATTTAAATAGGTACGGTACAGCTAAATAAATATGTAAGTAAATATTACCATACCTTTATAGTGATAACAACTGGAAGCAATGTCATGTGTTGACGAACCCTTGTCAGAAGAACCACTGCTTCGGAGACTTCTTCTGAGTTCTTGTTTCCTGTCGAGCACAGTTTCGGATTTGACGTAAAGTGATTTTGTTTCTTGTAATAATTCCACGGCACTCTTTCGTTTTGCTAAAAAAATAAAATAAAATATTTAAACTTCGATTACATCGAAAACTTAAGGTAGATCATATTCTATTACAATATTATACCGTAATTTAATACAACGCAATATACATATATACACATAATGTACGTTATATACATACCTATATATACAATATATATAATGCTATATGATCTATACTACACATTCAACTATATGGTATGTTTTATATAAAATATTATATTGTTTTCTAGATCACTATGCACTGACTGATCGTATTATACACATTATACATAAACTGCTATTCCTACTTCCTTCCTGTTCTAATGTTTTAGATACGTTTTTTCCTATGTTGAATGAATAAAAAATCTGTCCTTGTGCCCCCATAGCCATACAATATAGACACACTAAAGCACGAGCCAAATTGGTTTCCCGCATGTCAACGACACGACCAGGTGGACAACACATTATCATTACATGAGTGGAAGTTAGATAGACCGTGAACTCCAGGTATTTTAGACCACTCGACTGGAAAGCAAAACTGTGCTTAATTTTAGACATTTCCTCTCTAAATAGGAAAACGAAGCAGCTGATACGGAAGCTATAGTTATATGAATGTTATAAATAGTGATTTTTTTTTTTTTAATTTCCTGTCCAATCTATAGTGAAAGTGATACCGTTAATTGAAAGTGAACCGTTGAAGATCAAGTATACCACATTTGCGGTTTTACGTGGTTGATTAGACAAATCGTAAGATTGAGTTACGCACCGAGAAAAGTTTCATTAACAGATAGGATAACTATTTATTATTAAAAATTAGAGAAATGTTGTCAGACAATTTCCTTAATTAAGTGTGTTAAATACAGATAATTACACTGCATATGTAAGGTTTGTTTTGTGTAATATATTATAGAGTTGTATACCACACAACCATATCGGCATAAATTTGAGTTTGTAACACTATTTAGTTTATATAAATATAAATACGTAATATATCACTATAACATTATTTTTATAGCATTGAATAATTATTTGAGTACATTCAAATATTTTAATTTTAAATATTACATTAGTTATCATTCAGCTAGGAATTTTGATCGAACATAGCAATAATAATAAATAATTATTAATTTCCAATTTCGGTATCACCATTGCTACCTACATATTTATTTTCAAATATAATCAATAGAAATAAGTTAGAGTAAACATTATAGTGATAATACTTTTATAATTACTGTGATAGAGTGGACTTGTCTTTTAACTAGATTTTAAGTTATCTAACAGTATAACAGTCAGTAAAAATGAAGTGATTTTAGTTTAGTATACGTCCGATAATTACGACATTTTTTAAATCTTTCTTATCACATAATAGTACTAAAAAAGAGGTAAAATATATAGTTCAAAATGAGTAATATACTAAATTTAATGACCACTCTAGCTTTATAAAAATATGGTTACCCAGATAACCCTAAATTACCTGATATCTTTTAATTTTTTCTCCGTTTGGAGTGAATATTTGTATTTATTAAATTGTGCAATATTATTTTCCAACGGGTTGATTAAAATAGAACTTATTATATCAATTATATCATTTGTTTTAATAAAATTAAATAATCAAATTGTAACAATAAATTTACAACCTATTTATTGTAAAATATAAGCATGTACACATTTCTCCAATTTTGAATCCGAGAGCAAAAACACGCTTATTTTATTATTTAAAAAACAACTAATATTCCAACAAATGTAGCATAGAAAAATTTCGAGAGAGATTCTCCCCACGTTCTCCCATAATTACTACCATAAATGTTATGCATTTTCACTCGAAATTTGAAATTGAATAATCAAAATATAATAAATAATGTTATGTAATAAAATGTATATTTATACCCGTGCATTGTGGCCTGTATGATGACGGTGCTTTATCTGTCCGGAGAATGGTGTTCGTGATGTTTAGCGTTTTTAAAGGTTGTCCGGGTTGCTGACGTATATAACTTGCAGACGATAAGGTGGCCATGTCACTGGCGCGGGTGGAATGTCGGACTCATCGCCGTCGGACGACTTGTGACCTGAAACAATGCAGAATAACAAAACAGACGTGTTAATTTCGAATAAAAACCAGAACAACGCACCCTCCTGTAATCCGTGTCACATTATATTTGTTATGATAGACCGTAGAGAATGTAGTAGGATCGTACAACAATGTTATTTATAATATAATATATATTTATATTTATACCACTCGTAGAACGGACTATTTAATTTTTATCTATTATTTATTTATTACTTACGCTTCTTAAAAATAATCCAACATTTGTTTTTCGTCGTACGAACATTAAATCCTACATATTAATCTATAATCATGGACGTAGAAAAGAAATGTATTATGTTGTTCACTAAACATCAATTTTTATAATTTTTTTATGTACTGCATCTCTCCGAACACCTAATCTGGGTTTTCTAGAACACTTTATATAACATTGTGATTTAATGCAATGCAATTTGTTGTAAATGTACACGCGCAGACATCACCGCCATTGCTGCTCGCGGAAGTGTTGCCGGCGTAGAGTAATTAAATCATGACTGTTATTATTTTGTATTGTTCTGACTGAAAGAGCAAACAATAAAACGTAATATTTTATTTAGAGGAAAACATTTTACAAAACCATAAACCACAAACACGCTTAATGTAAATTAAAGGAGCACGGCATACGGTATTGATTTGTTCATCTTAATATTACTACATCGTAATATAAATCTGGGGCTTGGGTCAAAAAGAACCAATCTCACTTTTAATCACTTTTGGGAAATTAAGAATTAAACAGATTTTTTTTTTTTTTAAATTCATATCAATTTTATTTTCCATTGTACGAGTTTTTGTTTTTTGATGGATCTAAATATAAATAACCCTACATTTTACTATATGATATGATTTTTTTAGTTAAGTATTGAAGGTATTCTATTCACATTGGCCCTTTAAAATCATAATTAAAATAAAAAATAAACGACTTTGGCCCTTCCTTATAAAGGAACATTATAAATAACTTGAGGTTCAATAAATTATTTTTAACTTAGGTACATAGTGTTAAATAGTAATGTTAATATTGAATTTGTAACTCCAATACAATTTATAAAATAAGATGATTATAACAAATTACAACATCAAAATTAAAATTATACTTTTAACAATTCATAAAAAAATTTAAATTAAATTCATAACTTTGATGAGCACTGCCTTGCTCTTAATGATTAAGTAAATTCAATTTGACTTAGTTAAATAGTATTAAATAGTAATGTTAAAATTGAACTCGTGGCTACAATACAATTTATAAAATATGATTATAATATTATTAATTATTTTTGTAATTATTATAACACCTGTAATAATAATCGTACGTAAGATATTACCGTATAAACAATAATAATACATCGACACACGTCGGCGAAAACGCGAGGAAAACAAATATGAACGGCAGAATATCGCTGTCGATCGGTTTTGTGACAGCGATGATCTGTGGGAACGTAACAACCTCGAGAGATGAATCGCGGGCAGGGGGCACCGCTGCCGCTGCGGGCGATTATCACACGATCTTGTGCGCTTGCGCGTGCTTTTTAACCCGTTCCGACGCGAGAATAATTCGTTGTACACGACAGTGCATACGGCACATACATAATGTGGTACATACGGTATACACAGTTCTGTACGGCACTCGCGGTAATCCTCTGTCTCTGTGCTAGAATCGACGCGGTCAGTCATCGTAACGTCTGCACGCGGGCCACGTGTAGAGTGGCCTCTACTATCTCCAGCGCACGTCCTACTCTCCCTGCTTCCCGGTACCGCGACGAAATTAACATAATATAACAATCGTTTAAAATCGTATTATGTACACGTACCACGTGTGAGCATAATACGAGTCGCGTAGCTACATTATAATGTACACGGGCGCGCGCGCGATCAATGATCCGCGTCGCAGACTATTTGCATGTACATCACAAGCACATGTGTAACTAAAACTACTCTAAAATTATTAAATAATCTACTTTATATTAGTTTTAACAAACAGTGTTTACCTCTGGACTGCAATGATAGCAGTCTAATACGTGCTGAAAATTATTTAAACACCTGAAGGGATATCCGAAAATTTGGATCATTCGGCTAACTGTAATTTATTTATTTTGTTTCTACGAGTCCTATCTCAGAATTGAAATATTTTTATAGTCTGACCATTGTCTAAACCACGTTGCCTCTTCGACAAATAAATTACTGTTTCTAGACCAGTAGATATGTAAAATGTAATATTGTGAGGGATTACTTATCATAATTATCAAACGTTCATTTCACTACGATATTACATAAATAAAAAAAAAACTGGAACGGTAGTACTTGAGAATTAACTATTCATAACTGAATAGTTTATGTAAAAGAAAATATGATATAATATGACCAAATATAATAATTATTTTATATCTTAAAATAAGTTATTGAATATTTAAAACAGGGACTGGAACCGTACCTAAAAGAACTGGTTTTGGAACCGGAACCCTAATTTAAATAAATTTTAAAACCGGAACGTCACCGGAACTTTTATTTGTAATTATTTAAAAATTGAAACCTCACCGGAACCGATAATTTTTTGTAAAGGTTTTTTACGGTTAATTTCGGTATTGTTAAAATTGCATTATTTTTATTTATATCTGTCATTAATAGGTAATAAGAACAAAACAAAAACGTAGATCTATTATTATTAATATCGGGATGAATAATATTCGAAAATAATCATGCAAGTACTTAATAGTTTAGGCATATCATTAAACTATTAAAGTATACAATAGTTCTATGTAACAGCTGATAATAATGCAATATACTGTAATAAGAATTGCAAAAAAATTAGTCATTATTTACTGCATAGTAATATCTATAGGTTTTTTAGTTCCCATTATAACAAGAAATTCTAAAATTATGTCGATAAATAACTTTTTTGTAGGCATGTTATGACTGTGACAATCGTTATCTGATGTACAGCACGCCTGAGCGATAAACACTAAACACGTTTTAACGTTGTTCATTATGATGTATAATTCATGATTAGGTAGGAATCATCAAATATTTACAGATCTTTTTATAAGTACCAATATTAAAATAATTTATCAATGTATTACATAAAATCCTTACATTTTAAAAATTTTCTTATCTTAAATATTATTATTTTTAATATTTTTTTTATTTTATGGATAAATCATCAATAAATATTAAAACATTTTTAACTGTTAGCATTATTATTAATTATTCTAAAATGTTTTAATATTCTTAGATTATTAAAAGGTAAAGCACATATTTATAATTATTGTATATCTATGAAGGAAAGTGATCAGATTAAAATCCTATGAAAGTGGAACAGACCTTCCAATGTACTATCTACTGAAACCACTGACTGCAAGTCTCTAACCTTAAAAATATAAAGCAGTTTATATTTTAAAAATTTAAATACTAAATAATGATATAACAAATGGTAATTCACAAATTAATGTTTAAACTATAAAAAAAAATAAAACGATATTTGAAACAAGGTATTCGTGACGGTGATATATTTCTACTTAATTAGTTCTAAGTGATGGTAGGATATCTAGTTGAAAATTGGTATTAACCGATATAATTGACGATAATTAACACTAGTTATATTTTTAAAAGAATCGAAACAGAACTAAATTTTTCTCACTTTAGTATAATAAAAAACTTGAAACTAACTTTTCATTTTTTAAGAATCGAAAAGAAACCGAAACCTACATTTTTGTTATTTTAATAACCAAAACCTAAATTTTAGTTTTTTTTTTAAAACCGAAAAGAAACCGAAACCCAAATTTTTGTTATTTTAGAATCCTTATCAAAACCAGAACCGTTTTTTTTTTCTAGGAACCGAACTGGAACTGGAACCCTACAATTCATCAAGGTTTCGGTCCCTTATTTAAAATGTTCAACATTTAGGTTGTTAATATAATAATAACGTTTTAATCCATAAATATCAAATCATACACACATTTTCCAAGAATACTATAAAAATCTAATTTAATATACTATGTGATATATGTTGTAACTGTTGAATATAAATAGGAAATATAGTTTATGATTTTTTTATTAACTATACTATTGAACCGATCTAAGACAAAACCTCCATTACAAGTGCATAGAATTCCAAAATCATAACCCATTCAAATCCATAGTATATATATATATATATATATATATATAGGTATATGAATTATATAAATATTGCGTAAAAAAGTTATATAAATATCCACATGTACCATTCATAACTATAAAGTTTATAAAGTACATCATATTGTTTTAAAATATATAACACATTTAATTACACTTCTAAAAATTGTAAACTTATAACTAAAATTACTTACAATGTATTATAAATATTTTAATAATTTTAATACAATAGGTATATTAACACAGATATTTACACGTTTATGCATATGTGTACTCGTTTGTAATTAAGAGCTATATCAACGAATAAAATATAGTAGGTAACTCTAGAAAGAAAAATACGTACACAACCATCTACCTAACAAAAAATAATTGCTGTGAACTTTATACAAAATATTTCCTATGTACATTAAACTAGGTCATATAATAAATTACACTTAGGGTAGGTCACAGATTAAAGTGTTAAACACTCGTCTACTTTTGTTCGCATCATATACTTCAACCGTGAATCAAAACCATCCCTCAACGAGGCAATTTACTTGCTTAAGTATGTCATCATTTTTTAAATGTTACAAAATATGTCACTAAATATGTATATATATATATACTTAAATATGAAAGTTGAAAAAATAATAACACCTTTTACTATATCTTACTTTAACGTTTTTATTTTGTTTTTATGGATTTATGTTTTTTAAAATTATATATTTATATTAATATTGAACTTACTTTAGTGAGCTCAAGACTTTGATATAAAAAATTATAAATTATGTGTTCAAAAATACCAATAGTACCCACACAAATATATAATAAATAAAACTACGTTTTTTTTACATATTAAAGGAATCGTTGATTGCA